ACGTTATAGTGTTAGGAGCAAAGCAATCTTAGCACATGAATTGTTTAAATTTGCGTCATGTTGACATAAGCTAATTGAGCCTATGTGGCAATAGGTGAGCTACGTAAGTCCATGGGTATTCTTACAGCTGCGTGAGTATTCAGAAGTACAGCCGGGTGACGTCAGGTCTTGACTATCGGAGTGAAGAGATAGGTTTATATGTAGGCGGATCATCGAATTGGTTGTGTTAGAAGAGATGGATGGTCGGTGGAAATAGGAATATGTGATACGGAGAAGTGGTGATATACTTGATTGCTTTAATCCATATGGATAGTGCGGAGCTCTTCAAAATCCTGTTGCATGAATATTGCATAGCGCTATTGTATGAGGGAAGTGTTCGATGAGTTACGTTGTTTGCGTGATTTTTCAATGGTCCGGATTGACAAATACACAATGAGTATGAGTTATGCGTACACAATCAGTATTAGGTGATGAGATGAATTATGCATAAACTAGAAAGAGGCTTGGTGAACAAAAGTAGTAAGCCATCCATCCAGTTATCAAATTGTTGGCTGAACTCCGGAAATTAAACTCGACAAAATTAACGGAGCTGATTTTGAGTTACTGAAGCGAAAATGTTAATTTTTTGGCTTTTTACGTGTGAGGAGCATCGTTCGTAGTGCGTTTGAAGCGTGGTCGAAATGCAGGTGTATGTTGGAGTTTGGAAAACAGTTTGCATGAGAGCATTCCTTAGTTTGATAATATGTTCTTTTCAACAAGTACATGACTATCCAAAGACAATCGAGGATTTGTGGAGTGATCGTTTGATAACGTTTAAAGAACTGGCAAAGAATGTTCGCATATTTCAAATTTTATGTCAGCGTTTCTGCTTTGTTCCGATTGCAGTGAATGGGAAAGTGGTCTTTAGAGAACTGAAGTCAAACGTTTTTTCTACTAATGAGTGCATTTTGACGCGAATAGCAATACGACGATGATGTAATGAGCAAAGATATCAACAGTTTCTTTTTCTGCTGAGCAATTTGGCTCAGTTGAGGAGATATAGGCACTTTATTGATCCCATCTCGGGTGCCACCTCAAGGCTACCGTAAGCTCATGTTCGCCCACTAACATATGAATTTATTTGCATCGTTAGATCCAGCGGGATTTCTGCAATCGGAAAAATATATTCTTACTTGAGGAGATGTAGCTATTTTGTCAAAGCTATAGGTGTCACTATATTCAATCCTTCATTCAAGCCTTTTGATATGGCCTTGATCTGAGGTGCAGTGAATTAAAATAGACTGAATTTATTGCAAAGATGGTGTGATATCGTAAATTACAAGTGATAGCTCTTATGTGATATAGATAAACGATAGGCGATGATGTGACAAGAATTTTTACAAAATGCATTGGTCGGATGAGCGATAAAGGAAAAAAAATATGTTTTTATATGACACAATAGAAATTTTATCGTTTATTTTATCAATTTCCAATTCGTTTTTTGTATATTTTGCTGGTATTTATCACAAATGATAAGTGCTCTTGGGTTTGATTTCGATCTTGTTCCAGTTCATCTTGCAACTTTATTCACCGGACATCATTTCCATAAACTCTGAAATTGAGATTTGAATTGGAATTGTTTATATGACTTTTATTTGCCGAGTGAGAGTTGGGCTTGTATGAGCTGAAGTTAATAATCGCAGTTGAGGTTAAGTTGGGGACATAGTTGAAGATTAGTCTTGAGACTCAAGGCGTTTGATGGCAAGTTGTAATTCGAAGAATGTATGTTTCAAAGCTTGAGGTTTCTCTAGTGTCTCTTATCAATATGTAATAATTCAAACTTTGATCGATAATGAGAGCAGAGAATTCAAAATTGGAAATCTATGAATTTTGTGTGGATTATACAAGGAATCTGAAATTTGGTTTCAGGATTTGGAGGTCTAATATTGGAATTAGAATTTTGAACTTTGAGCTGTTACCATCAAAATCGACGGTGCCTGAACCATCTGCATCAATTTCGGCAATCATTTCATCCAGTTCGTCCTCAGAAACATTCTCGTCAAGGGCACGTAAGATATCCCGTAGATCTGATACGGCGATATAACCGTTACCCTGAAATTGTCACAAAGTTTCTAAGCGAATCGCCAGAAACAAACCCTTCAAACGACCTGAACTGATAAAACTAGTTGCTCCTGCAGAATCGCTCTCTAACGTATATACTTTTCTGAAAGCTTAGAGTCTCCTGAATCCAGTGGTAACAAGAAAACATGGTGTTGCTCTGCAAACTTCAGGACACAGTCAGTTTGAAAATGGTACTGGTGATATTCCTATAGAACTGAATCTTTGATCACACCACAGAGATCAATTGTGCAGAGTTTGGCGTTGCTATAGAATCGCTGAAAGAGTTTGACATGTGTTCAAAAAATTAGTCATATCTCTTGAAGTAAGCAAAATTCATCGACAATGTATATACTTTCCTTAAAGCTGAGAATCTGCTGAAGTCGACTGTTCCAAGAAACCATGATGTTGCTGCACAAACTTGAGGATATAGCTGGTTTGAATGTACTACTTATGATAGCCCTACAGCACTTGTCCGCGTTGAGAGGACAATTACCCAATTTTGGGTAATTTGGGGATGTCAAGGGGTGATGGATGGGGTCGGGAAATTAGTTCTGATGTTATGCGTGGAAATGGCAAATCATTGCAGCTGGAGGAGGTAATAACGGCCTGCCAAACCATCGAGCGGCTAATGGAGCACACGAGCGTTGAAACCACTCGATTAAAGCAACGGGAATGTTCACAATTACAATAGCAGTAAATTGTATGTTAATAGTATTCATAATTATTGCGTAGATTGCAAAACTAGTCACAATATTTGCTTGTTTTATGTTTTAGTACCTCTTTATCGTAGAGACGGAACGCTTCTCGCAATTCCTCCTCGAGTCCAGCATTATCATCCTCGTTCACCACAAAACTGGCTACCATTGCGGCGAATTCTTCGAATTCAATCTCACCAGATCCTTAACATGATTTCTAATGATATGATTAGAACAATACTGATGATTACAAGCTTCTTGAGTTTTGCTTTCATTACGCTCCATTATAAATGCTTTTCACTTTACTATCGACTCAATTTCGCTTTTATTGCTCACCGAATACATAAATAAATACGCAGTTGTTACTTTCATCACCCAGTTTATACGCAAGTAAGCATATTGGAATCGAATCATATGACCACGATTAAGTGATGTTGTGAACTAGTTTTGAGTTGTTTAGAAACATTGAGTGTGTGAGTATTGAGTATTGAAAACGACCGTGATATTGCTTGTGTTTAATACTACTATTTCAACTAATATGATTTTTGTTGTGAATCTGATATTTAATATTTTACATTATAATTGCTTATCTCGAAAGATATATCTGTATGCGTCCACTTATTCACAATAAGTTTACAGCTTAAAAAAGTCTAAAAACTTGAAAAGTCAACTCCAAAATTTTTCTGTAATATTTCACAAGGAAATTAAATTTTGAGAATCATTTTGATGGGTACGAGAAGAGGACTGTGGTTTTATATAGATGTTCAAGAAGAATGGAGTATGGCTTGAG